GGGGGCCTGGCGCTGCCACGGGGAGAGGGGCAGGGCCGGTGCTGTTCCCTCGGCCCCGGCAGTGCTGCCGGGAGAGGTGGGTCAGTGGGGAGAACGGAGACATGTCTGTCTCTGTGACGGGAAGTGGTCACAGACAGACACAGGCAGGGCAGGCCCCGTCTTTGCCAGGACGGGATCCAGGGCTTTGTGTGTCCTGGTGGTGCCGTGTGTGGGGCAGGGAGCTGTGGAACAGGCATGGAGGCCGCTATCTCGGGTAAGAGGCCTGCGTGGTGTCCCCCTGCCTGTGCCCTTCGCTCAGCACGCCCACCCAGGCCAGTCCAGCTGCCCGCCCAGCGAGCAGCCCAGGCCTGCACTGGCCATGTGGCCCGCCGGCTATAGCCTCGGCGCTGACGGGAGGACTAAGGCGTGGAAGTCCGTGCAGAGGGCGCAGGTCCTCGTAGGCCCCAGCAGGCTGAGCCACCTGACTCTCGGGCAAACCTGCTCCCGCCCGTGGAGGGGATGTGTGAGCTGGCGCCAGGCCCGGCACCCGCAGAGGGCGGCGGGCGTGGAGGGCACTGTGCAGTGCGTGCTGGTCAGGCAGGTGTCCCCGGGCCAGTCCCCGGTCCCTCCCCTAGAGCCAGGGCAGAGGCGAGGCCACCGGGAAGCTGGGCGAGGCCAGCTGACCACGATCGTCGTGTTTGCTCGCAAATGCAGCGCAGTAGACAGAGCACTCCCTCCACGCACGCAAAGCCACGCCGCTGCCACGCCCGGGCCGGGCTGAGGCCCCTGCGGACCCGGGACTGTCCTCCTCACTCAGCTCTGTCCGAGCCGGGAGGCACGGCTCTCCTGCAGGCGTTCCTTCGTCACTTGCTCTGAAGCACGGTCTCCTCGGAGGCCATAGAGCCGTCCCTGGACGCGGCCTGCGGCCTCACGGTCACGGGCCTTCGCTCTGACGGGGCTCCGGGTGGGCTGGGCTGCTTCGCTTTCCATGTGAACCGTGTTTTATGGAAACCTGAAACAGCGCCTTTTGGGGAACTCACTGTGCCGCCTACGTCGCCTGTACTGGGGCCTGCATGGGTGTATTCGATCAGCACTACTTTTCATACAAAATCTGGTATTTTTCCAAGCACACTAACACTTTTAACCTTGCCGAGTTTTTAATGTTTTTTATTGATTTTGAGAGAGGGAGGGAAAGGGAGGTGGGGGAAGGGAGAAGGGGAGAGAGAAAGATTGATGAGAGAGAAGCATCAACATCGACTGGCTGCCTCCTGCACGCCCCACACTGGGGATCGAGCCTGGAACTCAGCATATGCCCTGACCAGGAGTCAAACCATGACCTCTTGGTACATGGGACGACTCTCAATCTACTGAGCTGCACCCGCCGGGCAACCCTGTCGATTTTTCCAATTTGAAAGATTAAAATACTCATTGCATCAAAGAGCCACAGAATCTGCAAACTGGGGAGAAATCCCGAGAGCAGCTGGGAAAGGCACGCTATGGATTTAGGGTGAATGTACCGTTTTCAAAGTAGAACCGGTGGAAGTCCATCCCTTCCACCAAGTTGCCCAGAGCTTCTGGCTCAAAAGCAGTGAGGCCCGGGTCACAGATTTTTCTGTAAGAAAAAAAAGATGCAAACAATCAAGGAAAGAACTGCTGTATCCTGTTGTCTCACACACGTCCATTCCGGTCCACCCAAGTCAGCAAAGAAGAGTTTAAAAAACACAACTATAACCCCTGCCCGGCCTTGCCTGGGGGGAGGATGGGGAGGGTAGGGGAGGGGAAGAGGGAAGGGCAGTCTCCAGGTGACGGGCAGGCTGGCACCCTGGGTTTTACAAGCTCCTCCTGGGTCAGTGCCAGGAGTGGTCCCTCGGCCGCCCCAGCTGCTCTCTCTCTCGCTTTAAGCTTACTGTGTGGAGACGCTGTCCAAGCTCACCGAGCCCGCCCTGGCTCTGAAATGAAACGCTTTTGGGCTAATTGTACACCTTCTCCATCACAACACACTTCTACGGCCAGATCGACGAGAAAGCAGCTGTCACCCCAGCTTCCTGGCAGTGTCCGCAAGCTCAGTCACCTTGTTTACGGTTTATTAACTTCCCACGTGAAAGTA